CATGAGTTCAAAGCCAGCCTCGGCAATTTAGCAAGGCCCTAAGCAACTCATCAAGATCCTGTCTCTAAATAAAATACAAAGGTGGGGAGGGATGACTGGGAATGTGATTCATCCCCACATTAAGCGCCTTTGGGTTCAATCCTTAGTACAAAGAATGAAATAAGAATTCTTAACCCTCCCCACTTTAAAACCAATCACATACAAATTTTTTTAATCTGTTTTGGTGATCAAGTCATCATATATGCTTGATATGTCCCCTCACCTGCCCCTGCCATGAGGATTAAGTTTAAAGAGAAGTGGTTGTGAAATTGTTTTAAAGGGTACCCAGTTATTATTGAATTCATCATAGTTAATCTTTTCTGATAACTGGGGGCTTCCCACTTCCTATTTCTTGATGTGAAAAACAATAAGGTGTTGTGAAGTATCTTAATGTCTAAAAATATCAGAGCACAATGATCACTTTGTGTTTAATTTCTCATGTTTTGGGGTTCACATTTGGAAAAACTTTTGCTAGCATTTCAGTGGCTAAATGAAGAAAAATGACCTTAAACATTGATTACCAGCTGACTTTGAAATTCTCTTTCTTGCAGAGCCTTCTTTGAGGAATGTGTTCAGAACCTCTCCCACATTTTATATATATATAAAAAAAGTCCATTTATGTAAATGAGAAATGGGCCAAACGCCACCATTAATGTAGTACAGAACCAGACAGAATTGATCTTCTGGTTATTATCTGTTGAAACAAAGCTTTTACCTTTTTTAAATGCAGGGCCTGTGCATGCTAGTCCAGCAACTATCACTGAGCTACATCCCCAACCCTTTTAAATTCAAAATTTTTTTTTTAGTTGTAGATGGACACAATATTTTTATTTTTATGTGGTGCTGAGGATTGAATCCAGTGCCTCACACATGCTAGGCAAATGCTCTACCACTGAGCCACAACTCCAGCCCCTGCAACCCTTATAATTTTATTTTGAGATAGGGTCTTGTAAAGTTGCTAAGATTGACTTTGAATTTGCAGTCATCCTGCTTCAGCCTCTCAACTAAGTGAGATTATAGTATAGGTATGTGCCATTGTGCTCCACGAGCTTATGCTTATTATAGTGACATTATCATAAATGTTAGTGGTTTAAGAGTCTTGGTACCACTATAGTTTCTTTTGGTACAGAAATGTGATTATAACATGAAGTTCATGTTATAATCACAACTTGATAAGCCCCCCCAACCTCCGCCCCTGCCCCAGAGAGGGAGGTAGTTTTTTGGCCCCAGAGAGAGAGGTAGTTTTTTGTTTAGGAAATGATAATGTTTTAACTGCTTATCTGTGTCCCACAGCTGGCAGAAAACTGTAGTACACTGATCATAAAGTTACATATTGAACTAAATACTGCCAATTTGTTTTATTGTTTTCGAAGTATAAATAGGGAAAAAAGTCAAACAGTGAACAATCAGGCCTATGAGATCGTAGTTGATAGTAAAATGGCAGCTGCGGAAGGATTAGAACTTAATTTTGTTCATTGCTGCATCACCAGTGTCTGGAGTAGTACCTCCCATCCAAAAATATTTGTTGAATGCATGARTTTTCACCACTTAAGCATAGTAGGTGGATGCAGTAATGTTTTTGATTTTCTCCTTGTTTGTATTTTTAGTTATACTTGTCTTAAGCAGTAAAGGTTTTTAGGAAACTTGAGTTTGAGGGAATAAGTTTAAGCCATAGTTGCTTTACCCAGATGATAAATGCTTGTGTTTGACTTAATGCCAATGATTAAATCATCTCTACCAAGGAATCCTACCCAACCTACTACAGGTATCCTAGTTTTGAATATCTAAAAAGTTAATAGACATAAATAAGGAGAAAAGAAAAAAATTATCCCTTCCAGTGGCAGTTGTAAAGCTTTTTTTTTAATCTCGTAAAAAATTTATTTATTTATTTATTTTTACATAGGATCTAGCTATTTGACCAGGATGGTTCTGAACTTTTGGGCTCAAGTGATCCCATCTTAACCTCTAAAGTAGCTGGGACTAAGGTCTGTGTCACTGTGCCTTGCTGTAAAATCATTTCTTAAAATTTAATATTCCCGGATCTACTATTTAGTATTGCCTCCACACTCAAAGTGTGTTCCAAATCTGTTTTTTTTTTAAACTATTCAGTGCATGTGCAAGAAGATCTATTTGTTTTCATATCCACAGTAAATAAGATTGTTTTAAAATTATTTAATGTTGCTTGCCTTCTTAAAGTTTTGAACTCTTAACATCCTGCATTTGAAAAGTGACAGGGCTATTTGAAAATTACTCCATTTTTCAAAATGTATTTCAGTTAAAAAAAAAAAGTTCTCCACTGTCCCCCCTCCCATCCCCCCCAAACATTTTAGGATGCCTGGCCTTTGTTTTAGTTTTTCCTTTTTATTTATTTTTTCAGAATAATAGGCATGAGTTTATTGGAAAGGAGAGAAGGGGACACAGTAAAGGGAGAGGAGTAGGTTCTCTCAGGAGAGGGACCCTTGTTTATATTTACTGATTAGTTTTTATGTTTTTTAAAAAATTGGGGTTGTGGCTCAGTGGTAGCACACTTGCCTGGCATGTGTGAGGCACTGGGTTTGATTCTCGGCACCACATAGATCTTTATTTATTCATTTATTTCTATCAACAACTTAAAAATTTTTTTTAAAAAGTTGGGGCTGGAGTTGTGGCTCTGTGGTAGAACGCTTGCCTAGCATGGGTTTGAGGCACTGGGTCAGATCCTCAGCACCGCCTAAAAGCAAATAAAAAAAAAAAAAGGTTAAATTCTTTAAAAAATGTAATGGCTTCAAAAGATTATATAAATCATCCAGATTGGTGTACCTCTTTGCCCTTGTTGAAGCTAGTGTGGTAGGTGGCACATAGGTAATCACAAACTATACTGAGTAGATACTAAATTTGTCCATTCCTTCTTGGCCTTCTCAGGGCCTCAATGACTTTCATAGTCAACCTCATTATCTTCCAGAAAGAGAGTTCATTGAGTATATTGTGTTAGGTTTCTTTCTCTGATCAAACTGTGTGATAACATCTTGTGTCATAGTATCTAGTATTCAACTGTGTTGATTTTTATTCTTTAGGGTTATCTCTTACAATAGATAAAATCATATTCATATGGTATAATATGTAATGGTAAAAAACTTACATCTTAATTCAGATAGCTTCAGAATGATTTATTTATTTTATTTTGGGTACTGGGAATTGAACTCAGGGTCACTTGACCACTTTGCCACAGCCTATTTTGTATTTTATTTAGAGACAGGGTCTCATTGAGTTTCTCAGTGCCTTGCTTTTGCTGAGGCTGGCTTTGAACTCGCGATCCTCCTGCCTCGGCCTCTGGAGCTGCTGGCTACTGCATCTTGCCAGAAGGATTTAATTTTTGTATTCCCTTGTGATGGAACTTAAGAGTAACTTTAACATTTAAGAGTTAATTAACCCCTACCTCACCCAACATAACCATATTAAATTCTCTAGCTCTAAAATTAAAATTATGTTCAAGGCCCCAAAACATAACTACTTTGAGGTACACCTGACTTTTATCATAGGAAGGYGCTCGTCACCTTTTTAATTTTTTTCCTTTTTGTAGATGGACAGAATGCCTTTACTTTATTTTATTTTTATGTGGTACTGGGGATCAAACCCAGTGCCTCACGCTTGTCTCCCGCCGAGCTTCTTTTAGACTCATGGCACTTATGTGACAAATAGTCCTTAGAGACATGGGCAATGTATTTTGCTGGTGGTGTTTCACAGTGATATGCTTATTTCCAGTCAAGAAGATGTTTGATTTTGGTTATTGGGAAGAAGATTCCTTGCTGTAATTGAAGCCTACCTGTCTCAGCCTTTTCGTTAAATCTGTCTTTTTATTTGGTTCATTTCTTGGAATTTTATGTGGAAATTTTACATGAACACTTAATGAACATATTTCTGCCAGAATAAGTAATTTCTAAAACATGTCAGATAATTCTTAGATGTAGTGATTTTGTGTTGAATTTAATCCCACCCCACAACCCCAATTATATTTTTTTTTGGGGGGGGGGGGAGGTACTGGGGATTGAACTCAGGAGCACTTGACCACTAGTCACATCCCCATCCCTTTTTTGTACTTTACTTAGAGACAGGGTCTCACTGTGTTGCTTAGTACCTAGCTTTTGCTGAGGCTGGCTTTGAATCCCCAATCCTCCTCTCTCAGCCTCCCAAGCCTTTGGGATTACAGGTGTGCACCATCACACCCGGCCACAACCCTAATTATCTGATGGACATATGTCTTCTTGGGAGGTTACTAGAATATCGTACATAGCTGGCTAGCTTCCTTGAATTCCACCCTCATTTTCTAATGAAATAGTTCTTTTTCTGATTCTTTAGAGTTTCAGTATTCATTATATTCTTCTTCACATATATGACTTCATGTCACTTAAACCATCAGCTCAAAAGAATTGTGTCTATAAATATTGAGAGAAATAATCACAAAGGAATTAGGTCAATTATGTCTTTTATTTCTGTAAAGGTCAGAATTGTTGCCTAGTAGAGAACAAATTCTTTGTGCCCCTTTCTTTTTTCTTAAAGATTCATTGGTAGAAGGCAATTATATGTACCAAAAACTTTAACTAGGAAGTCCAAACCAGAGTAGCTGTGACCTTAGTTTTTAACGTACCTGTTCTTTTAAGTTGCGGAGATTTCCTTGACAAGCTGTCAGAAATGATGCTTTCTTGACTGAAGAAAAGCCCTAAAATAGGAGGTTCCTGGAAAGCTCTTTTTTGTATATTTCTACTGTTGCAGAAGGCATGCGAAGGCCTGGCTGGGTCTTAATTCTGTGATTTAAATAGTATAAAATTTGTGGTTATTTGCTGCAATAAAGAGTGTTTTCTGAACAGTCTTTATTGCAGCAAGAAAAATCCATCATATGTTCTAACTTGTACAGAAAAACCTGGTAGTGAAATCTATCTTGATTCTTAAAATATTTGTCATTATAAAATGTGTTTCTTTTGCAGATTTCCTTGTGAAACCTTCTGATAGAAAAAGTTTTCAGTACAAACTTCATTTGGTAAGTTATACCCCCCTCCAATATTCTCTCTCTGCTGATTTGAAGCAGGAATGATGATGGTGGTGGGGAGTCTGTCTTGTCCATAATTACTTAGATGAAGTTTTCTGTTCATTTTAATGTCTTTAAATATGGTGTGTGTGTGTGTGTGTGTGTGTGTAATTTTAATTTTATTTTTCCTTCATTAGGATATAGGGAGAGTTACTTTTTCCATATGTAATTGTGGTAATGTTCTGTGCCTGGAAATTTGTATTTAAATTGAGAGTTAATGAGTTGCAGCAAGTATTTCTTCTAAAATAAACAGCCCTTACCAATCTGGAGTTTTAAAATTGAAAACTTGAGTCTTTGAATTTTCTTAAAATTAGTATATATTTATATGATAATTAATGCCTCTTAATACTAGAGGTAGTAGTACAAGTGTGAAGTTTAATTAGAAAAACAAGTTCTAAAGATTTTTCTAGATCTTTCTCCAGTATGGATATTAATCCGGCAGTATCTGTCCCTTACTGTATCTTTATTATAGCCTTATAAATCTGTTTAATTTAGGGAATTATAATTCCCTTTCATTGAAAAAAAAAAAGTTGTGCTTTGCTTTTAAGTTATTAAATCCAAACCATTGTCTTGGCTTATCATTGCCCTAGAACATGGATCCAACTCCTTAGCATGGCATGTAGGGCTCTTTAGAGRTGGATTTGAACAAATCTTCTATAGCTAATAACCTGTTACCTGTGTACCTCGGATGACTCTTGTTGTAAACACACTTGCCTACTTCCTGTCTTTTTAATACTGTTCAGTGTTCATTTTTTTTTTCTGCTATATGTACCATTTCTGTTCAATCTTTGTCTCATAGTTCAAGATCTTGCTGGTTTGGCTGGGCATCATGTTGCACGCCTGTAATCCCAGCAGCTCGGGAGACTGAGGCAGGAGGATCACAAGTTCAAAGCCAGCAACAGTGAGGCCCTAAACAACTCAGTGAAATACAAAATAGTGACTGGGGATGTGGCTCAAGCGGTAACGCGCTTGTCTGGCATGCACGGGGTGCTGGGTTCGATACTCAGCACCATATAAAAATAAAATAAAGATGTTGTGTCCACCTTAAACTGAAAAATAAATATTAAAAAATTCTCTCTCTCTCTTAAAAAAAAAAATTGAACTGAGAATGGGACTCAGTGGTTGAGTGTTGCTGAGTGCAATCCCTGGTACAAAAAAAAAAAAATCTTGCTGGTTCTTGTTTTTTTAAGAAGCAGTTATTAAAATATAATTCTGGCGAGTGTGGTTCTATAGTCCCAGCTACTTTGGAGGACAAGATGGGAAGATTGCCAGTTTGGAATCTGTCTGGGAAGTTTAGTGAGACCTTGTCTTAAAATAAAAATGGAAAAGCACTGGGAATGTAGCTCAGTGGTAGAGAATCCCTGGGTTTGATTCCCAAGATGGTTTGTGGGATTGGGGGGGAAGATTCACATACTGTGTAGTTCACCATGTAGAGTATATGATTCAGTGAATACACTATTCACAAAAATCTGTAGCCATCACTTGCCTATTTTAGAACATTTTCATCACTTCAGAAAAGAAACTTCATATCCCCTAGCTGTCACTGTCTCTTGCCCTCCATCTCTCCCAGCCCTAAGCAAATACTAATTAATTTTCTATCTCTATAGAATTTCCTTGTTCTAGACATTTCATGTAAACATAATCCTGCTATGGCATGTAGTCTTTTGTGTTTGGCTTCTTTTATCATGTGTTCAAAGTTTATCAATATTTCATTCCTTTCCAAGACTGAACAATAATCCATTGTTTGGATACCATTTTGTTAATCCAAATGTTCATATAGTTGAACAAATAGTTTCCACCTTTTCGTTATTTCGGTAATGTTGCTGAGAACATGTGTGTATAAGTTCTTATGTGTTCATACTTTTTTGTTTTCTCAGATAAATACTAGGATTGCTATTGCTGGGTCAATTGGTAAATCTCTATTATTGTTTGAGGAAATATGAGGCTGTTTTCCAAAGAGGCTGCACCATTTTATATTCCTACCAGCATCATAAGAGGGTATTTGTTTACCTTTTATAGCTATTTTTAAAATTTCTTACATGGACCATCCATTACTATTAGACCTAAGCAAATTCACATGTCTTAATTGTTTATCAGACTAACAGTAATGATTCAACTTCTTCCTTTTGTGGTGAAAGTATAACTACCACAATGCGGCCCAAGTTATGCAAGTGAGGTGTTGCAATAACCCTTGAGTATTTCCTAAGGATTGTTCATGACTGTTCTTTGTAGTTTTAAAAGGAACCTTTAAAAACTTCTTAATTCAGATTGGTTGCAGACTTACCCATGATCTTCTTGGCTTTTACTTATGAATTTGGAATTCCTATGGCAATTTTAATTTTTCTCAAATTCTTAAAGCAGCACTTCCGATTTTCTGATTTTATTTTATCTACTTATTTTCTTTCCTGAATTGTAAATTCTCCACTCTCCCTTAACCCCTACATCCATGTTTTTACCTTTGTTATGTTATTATACTACAAAATACCTTTCAGATCTTTGTCTTTCTTCTGTCTGTACTTCCACTCTTCTAAATCAAAACACCATCCTCTTCCTGTAATTGTTCCCGATTGTCTTCTTTATTTTTTCCGTTTTTTAATCCAGTCACCACACAGTAGTCAGCATGATCTTCATATCACTCTTCTGTTTAAAACCTGTAAATGGTATCCTGTTGTGCTTGGAATATAATCTTTACATGATCTTTTCCTTATACATTTCAACTTTAAATTGGGCTACTTTCACTCTGATTCAATATATTTTAGCTAGAATGATTTCTTCCTTTTAGTTCTTCAAATATGTCAGTCTTTCTGGAATACTATGCTGTTATCTATACCAGAAGTTTGACACCCCCCCCACACACACACATCCCAGCCAGCTTTTCTGATGTAGTCAGTCTCTTGCATCCTCTTATTCATTCTTTGTCTCAGCATCCTAATTGTTTCCTTCATCACATTTAACATACTTTGTAATTATTATCTTTTTCTGTCTGTCATTGGAACAAAAACTGCATTAGTGTAAGAACCAATACATAATCAAACTATCTGACATAGGTTCTTGGGTAATTTTTGACTGCCTGCAGTGTAGTACACTGTTTTCAAAGTCTTTATGTGGTAYAGAAATCAAAGGCATCACTTCCGGATGAAGACTTTTTAAATTGATTTAGTCTTTTAATGCTAAGTGGCAGATCTTCATTGTGATTATTTCCATGCTTACTAAAAATTTAGCCTTAACTGTAAAGTTAGCATATGTGTATATGATGTAACTGCTGATCAGCAGTTTACTTTTTTAATTTATTTTATTTATATATGACAGAAGAATGCATTACAATTCTTACAACAATTTACTTTGTAATTGGAATTTAATTTAGTGAATTGTCACTAGATGATTACAGTTCAGCTGGTTGTCTTACTCTGTGATGCCTGTATGAGTTTTCTGTGCATTTTTTTCCTGGGGAAAAAAATAAACCTTAAAGGACACTACATGTGCTGGGTGTTGTGGTGCAAGCCTGTAGTCCCAGCCACTTGGGAAGTAGAGGCAGGAGGATTGCAAATTCAAGGTTAGCTTAGGTAACATAGCAAGACCATGTCTCAAAGTAAAAATTAAAAGGGGGGTGGGTGGGTAGGTGGGGCTAGGGATGTAGCCTAATGATAGAGTGCTTGCTTAGCCTGGGTTCAATCTATATTACCGCCCCCCCCCACCACCACACAAAGTCACAGAGTGCACATTGGTGTTTATTGTATAAACAATAAATTTGGTTTTGTGATGTCCAGAACTTCAAGTTTTTAAAATGTTTCTCTATAACAGTCTCAACATATGTATTTTTAAATTGACACATAGTAATTGAACATATTTATGGAATATAGTCTGTACAGTGTGATATTTCAGTACATGTATGCAATATGTAATGATCAGATCAGATTTATTATTGACATTTATCACCTCAGACATTAATCATTTCTTTGTAGGGGGGGGACTTTGTGTTCTAAATCCTTTATTTTGATATAATCAACTGTTGTTGACCACAATTACCATATGGTGCTATAGAGCATTAGAAGTTATTCCTCCTCCTATCTAGTTTTACCTCTGTATATCTGTTAACCATCCTCTCTCCTCTCTCCCTCACCTTTTAGGCTCTGTTAGCCATTATTCTATTGTCTGTTTCTTGGAGATCAACTTGTTAGAGTCTACGTGTAAGTGAGAATATGCATTATTTGTCTTTTTTGTGTCAGAATTATGACACAATGTCCTGTGTTTGATCTATATTAATGCAAATGATAGAATTTCATAATTATTTTTTTGTGGGGGTACCAGGGATTGAATTCGGGGGCAGAGCCACATCCCCAGCCGTATTTTGTGTTTTATTTAGAGACAGGGTCTCACTTAGTTACTTAGTGCCTGGCTTTTTTGCTGAGGCTGGCTTTGAATTTGCGATCCTCTTGCCTTAACCTCCCGAGTGCTGGGATTACAGGCGTGCACAACCACATCTGGCTCATTGTGTTTTTTTATGGCTCACTAAGTTGCTGAGGTTGATTTCAAACTTACAGTCCTCCCACCTCAACCTCCTGAGTTGCTGAGTTTATAGGTGTAGGCCACTGTGCATAATACCTCTCTCCTTTTTAATTCTAACAGTTTCCCTCTTACATCATCTTTACTTCCTATTTCAAGTACCATATTCTGTTATTTCTTACGCTTAACTCTGTTTTCTTTGTAGCGTCTATTAGCTAACTACTTAACATTAGATCCTGTTTGTTTCTYTTGAGGAAGACCGCTTCTTGACTTTTTATGCACAGTTGTCTTTCTAAAGCCTAGCAATGCCTGGAATATAGTAGGTATTGAGTATATTTATTGGAGTGAACAAAGGAAATAATTTTATGCCAATTTGGGTCATTATCAAATCACAAAGATTTGGTGTGGGTTTGAAGGAATGTCAAGAATGATGACTGTGACTTGGCTTGTTACTGAACCCCTGTGGTCTTTTCTCTAAACAATGGATTATATCAAGCTCCTGTCCATGATCTTCATGGCCTCTCTTTATACTTATACAGCTTAAATGCTGTTCACACACTAATGTCTCCCACATTTATATTAATATTTCTGACTTCCATCTTTTAGATCTCTAGTCTGGTTTATCTAGCACTTTACTTGGGATTTTCAACTGGATATTTGATGTGCATCTCAAATGTAATATGTCTGTAATAGAACTTATGATTCTCCTTTGTTTCTTCACTATGGATGTTCCCCATCAGTAAATCCTTGCTTTCAGTTGCTGGGGCAAAAAAAAAAAAAGACTTCCTTTTCTTTTAAATTTAATTCATGAGCTCAAATCCTGAAGATGATACTTGCAAGGTGTATCCAGAATCTAGCAACATCCCACCATTTCCATTACTATTACCTTGTCTCTTGGCTGGATCATTGCAGTTACCTTCCAACTGTTTCTTCCTTTGTTTCTTTCTCATTCCCAATAGTCTAAACTATTCCCTACCTAGATTCACTAGCCAGAATAATCCTTGAAAGTAAATCATTTGATGTTATTCTTGCTCACAATACCCCAAAACCGTTGTATGATATGGACCCTGCTACTTCTTTGATGTCCCCTTTTCTGTCATTTACACTGTCCTCTGTTTTGTCATATACACTGTCTTATATGGTTTATATTGAATATTAACCAGGATAGCCTCTGTTTTTTGAACTTTAGCAAATCAGAATTACATGAGACTAATCTATTCAAAGAAAAGAGCAACTTACTAAAGATAATACTTTAATAGCCTATCTTTGCATTTCTAGTAGGGTATTCTTCCCCTTTCTCTTTTTTGTTCTTAATAAAACAGGTAAGAGGAGCTGGGCACTGTAGTACACGGGAGATCCTCACACTTCAGCCTCCCCAAAAGCCAGGATTACAAATTTGAGGCCAGCTTGGGCAACTTGGCAAGGCCCCATCTCAAAAAATAAAAAAGGGTGATGGTATAGCTTGGTAAGAGAACAGTCTGGACTCAATTCTTGGTACCTCCAAAAATAAATAAATAGATAGATAGATAGATAGGAAGTATTAGCACAGGTGAGTATAGAATATTGGAATAACAAACAGGTTGTTCATATTTTGCTTGCTAAATATGTTTGCTTCCCATAGACAGAAGATCCATACAAACATTCTGAAAATTATAAGAATATTGTTTTCTCATTTGCAGGTTGATTTTAATTATTACTTTCATCCAAGATTTAGCCTTTTTTTTTTTTTTAACAACTATCATTGTAAGAATGTTAGCATTTGCTACCTTTTTTTCCCAGAACTAGGTTAAGTCCAGAAAGATTTTTGCAAAGGCATTATCAAGTTTGGAATTGACTAGTGAGAACTGACAGGATGATATTCAACTGTTTCTTGAGTGATTCTGTTCAGTTTTTTAGTTTGTATATGTGCAGTYCCTTTAATTAGGATATACCAATTAGGGGAAAACTATTGCCAATTTTGCTCTTTTTCTCTTTCTCTCTCTCTCTTTTAAAAAAAGATCTCAGCATAAGAGAAAGAAGAGCTTTGCCAGACACTGAAGAAGGGACGGGGATCTCTCGTCCTAATCTGGGCCTCCTGTCATGGTAAGTATAAGGAAATAAGAAAATTGGAGTTGAACTCAATTCTAAAAATTTAGCTGAACACTAATCCATACTTACCCATTTCTGTTTTTGTTAGAAATCATTTTTCTTTCCCCTAGAATCTCTCTTCTTTTATTATTAGTAATGATAGGGTACTCCATTGTATGGACCAATTTCATTTCTCTTAACTTGAATTCTGTGACCTGGACACTAAGTCTCATTTTAAATCAGCTAGTGAATGGAACCAAAGAATAACATATGGTTCCTGGACTCTAGGTTTTTCATTCCTTTTCTAGGAAACTGGGTTGGAGTATAGCTTAATAGTAGCCCAAGGCTCTGGGCTCAATCCTCAGTACCAAAAGRAGAAAAAAGAAAAGAGAGAAAAAGAAATTTCTAGGAAGTAGGATATAGTGACAATGATTTTTTCATCTGAATTGTCTTTACTTTTTTAGTTGACAAAATTATGTATATTGTGTGCAGTGTTCTTTCAAGTGTGTATATATTGTAGAATGGCTACATTGCGCTAGTTAACATGCGTTACCTCACAAAGCAATTCCCTATATTCCCTATGAGTCTTGCTCTCTTTCCCCCCACCCTCCTTTCTTGCCCTTTGGTACTAGATATTGGACCCTGGGCTTAGCACATGCTAGGCAAGTGCTCAACCGCTGGGTTACATCCCCAGCCTATCTATGTCTCTTCAAAGCAGTATTTTGGTTTGGTAGTAGGGCAGCAGATCTGCATTCCCCTGCTTGAATCTTTGACTGAAAAGAACATATCATGGACAGTTCAGTGATTTCTGGACCATTTAGGGTCCAGGGAAGGCAGAGAAGATGGAGCAACAAGCCAACTACRTTTTYATTAATCTTGAGGACATATAAAYAGCAYTTCAGMTCTTAAGAGAAAAATGATTCTCTGTAATATTGTCCTGTTTCTACCTTATGGTGTTTCCTAGATCCAAACTGTTTCATGCTGGTGCACAAAAAAGGAATTGAAAAGACCATGTTAATTTCAAGCTTCATTAGGGATGTGTATGGAAAATGCTYTTAAAATTAAAAACATAGTAAAACAAAACAAAAAAGGTAGTTGTGCAGAAATGTCATATGAAAAAGAGGAGAAAGGTAACTGTTCTCTTCTTAAAGGTAGACTCTTTTTTCTTAGTTTGTGGGCATTACAACTTTCTCATTTCTTGTACCCAAACATTGATGAACTTTTACTGTTAATTCTCTAGACTACATTTTATTTTACTACCTGTCTCAGGGTTTTTTTTTTTTTTTTTTTTTTTTTTTTTTTTTTTGTGGTGCTGGGTCTCAGTTTTTAATGAATTGAAAAAGTGCTTGCCTTATATTTATATGGTATGCTATGCCAATGCTAATGTTTATCAAATTATGGGCTTATGAAAGCAGATCTGTTCTATATGGAGACTTTGTCCTTCAACTTATACCACATAGCTAGAAACAAATAGCATGGTCCTCTTCTTGGTGCTGCTGGGATCTCTTTGGTGCCCAACTATCTTCCTTGTGTACTTCCTGCCCCTGTGCTGCAGAAACGCTCTGGAGACACCTCTATGTGTGATAGTTGGGGAACAGCTTGACCGTGGTGCATCCTGCCCCCCACATAAACCATTATAACAATTTTTTTTTAAATTCTCATTTGTAATTCTACCACCAGAACTTATGGTTGTATGTTTTCCTAAGTAGTCCTTGTCATTCATATATCTACATATATAGTTACAATAACATAATGAAGTCTTTTTCTCATTTCATTCAATGCATTAAACGTTTTCCTATGTTGATTTACTGGATTCCTAAAGATCATTTTACTAGCTACATAATATCTTGCAAGTTATTGAGCCTTTGATCCACTCATATGGTATACATTTAATATACCATATTATCTTAACATTCAGATTATATGTCCTTAATCCTTAGTTTTGTGTAAGAAAGGAGTATTGAATTTTGTTTTTGATGTATATTTCTGTAGTAATCTGAAGGTAACATCCTCTCCTGCCTCTTGTAATCTTAAAAGATCTAAAATGATATTTAAGTCTCTTTGAGAGACCAGGAATTATGAAAACATGTTTTTATTTTCAATATGGAAAATCTTAAGCATAGACTATATGAGGAAAGAATTTGTAGTGAACTCTCATATCAGTTGCAGTAACTATCAGTTTATGGCTACTTGTTTTATCTGATTCCTACTCTGTGCTTCCTAGCCCTTTGAATTGATTTGACCAAATTTCAAGGATTGTAGCAAGGGAAATATATTTTCAATGACTATAAATACTAGCCCCAAGAATAATGTATGGACAATACTGACAGTAAGAAGACCGGTGATTACTTTTACATTTTTTGAACATGAACACAATATATATAGATTCAGTTCATAGGACTTAATTGGTCAGCAGTCTTCTCTTATGTGCTTTAAATATTCATATTTAATGTTGRCTTCTCCTCTGAAGTATGTACTTAACTTTCTTACCTGCATAATTTAGCAGTAGCAGAAACCAGCCTGAAACTGTGGTTGACTGATCCCTTTTCGGGATTTCGCAAGTGACCCTTCTAACTTTATAGAGCTAGGTGGAGCCAAAGAAATACCAGATTCTACATCACCTGGCATTCCTGAGTAATACCAGAAAATCAACAATGTGGAATGCATTTTTTAATACTAATGAATAAGTGCATATAGCCTAAGCAAAATCTGTTCCCAGCTTTTTATCACACCACTACTTTCCATTTCTTCCTTTTCCCAGTTTCCCTCCCTATTAACTGTGTCAAGTTGGGTTTCCTTTTATACCTTAAAATCACAGAGACTATAATAAAATTAGGCTGTTAGTTAGTTGGTCCTAATGTTAAATAAATTTTTGAGGTTAAATGCAGTTCTGTGTAAAGAGGGACATTTTTCTTTCTTTTTTTTTAATATTTTTTTTAGAGGTTGATGGAGCTTTATTTTATTCATTTATTTATATGTGGTGCTGAGAATCGAACTCAGTGCCTCACACTTGCCAGGCAAGTACTCTACCACTGAGCTACAACCCCAGCCCAGGGGGACATTTTTCTGAAGCCTTATAGGTAATATGAGCTGAGGCAGTATTTTTTAAAAAGAGCATTTATTTGATTTAACTGAAAATAAGTACTTCATGTTCTTGTCTTGCTGGCTTAATTGTCAGTTCTCATATGTTGAAAACAATTTTCTTTCAGTGTTCAGTAGCTACTTTGGTTAGGTACATTAGTCTGGATTAGCACCAAAGTGAGTGTGCTAGCAAGAATGAATAGGTAAATGGCTTCTCTTTCCCTTTTTTTCCTTTTTCCTTTTCTTTCTCTTTTTAAAAAGCCTGCTACATTATTTCAATTCTGAGCTGTTTTGAGGGTCAGTGGAAAACTGGGTCAAGGAATCACATAAAGAAATAATGAGTGCCTCTRTAAAATGATCTTAAAGACAGTAAAAACTAAAAGTTTAGGCCTTATACATTTATGTGAGTTAAAAAGCTAGTTAATGTGATGCTGAGAAGGTATGTTTAAAGTGTACTTTCAGGTAAGAATTTTTAAAAGCTGTCCCCTCTTCCTCTTTTATAGCATTTCCTACCTATTCCCTGTTGGTTCATGAGAACATTTTTCTTGATTCAGGATTCTCTCTTTTCCTTTTATTTCCTTTAAGTGTAAACATTAAGCCTTCATTAAGTCAAGAGATACCTTTTAATAATGAAAGTAGGATTTTTTTTAAGCCAGTACTTATGGTAGAAAAGTGGGTTCTTTTTAAAAAAAATCACTTCCCCCTGTTCTTTCACTCATTAATTGACTTCAAATGAAATGAGTGGAAAGGCATAATATAGWACAGATCAACACAACATTTTTCTTTTTTTGTATTTTTTTTATTTTTTTTAATTAGTTACACATGACAGTACAATAACCTTGACATATCGTACATTTGAATCAGATGGGACATAATTCAACATTTTTCATCTAACAAGTTATTTTGGTGTTTATAGGAGTGGAGCCATTTACAGACTTTAGTACACTTTAGGTAATTATTCTTTCCGAGACCACTAAGCTCTGTCATATCAGCCTTATTAAAGTGCATCACTTAATTAAGTATTTTTTTAAAAAAAATATTAGTTATTGATGGACCTTTATTCATTTATTTTTTTATATGTGGTGCTGAGAATGGAACCCAGTGCCTCACATATACTAGGCAAGCACGTTACCATTGAGCTACAACCCCAGCCCTCATTAAACATTTTTATTTTGGCTACATAAGAAACAAAAGTTGTTTTCTTTTTTTTTATAATTTTGCTTTTAAAATTATTTGATTATCAGCTACAGTTTCTTAACAATTATCCTGGGATGCTTGTAATCCTAGGGAAATATTTTTTTATAATAATAATAAAAGTATATTTAATAATGGAAGTTTCATAATTTTTCATAGCATTTTATAAACCATTTGTAAAATTATATTTTTATAATTTGAAGCTATTTAAAAATTTTAAATATCAATCTTTTTAAAAGGCCCTTAAAAAGCTCATGTCTCAAAATAAAATGGTTTAGTCATTTTGTAGCAAAGATTGCTAGAATGATGGTTGAGGTCATTGTTAAATTSTGAGTGGCTTTTTCTGTCATGGATTAACAATAGGAGAATAGTTTTGGGACAAGTTTGGCCTTTCAAATTATACAGCTTTAATTGTTACTTAGTATTAGAGTGCWGTCTGGAATAGCAGTTCTGAAACCCTTTGGTCTCAGCATCTCTTTTTACATTGATAAATTATTAAGGGCTCCCAAGAGGGCTTGTTTATGTGGTTTATGTTTGCTGTGTTTACTGTAATAGAAATTAAAGCTGAGAAATCTCTCAAATGCTTATAAACTCATTTAAAAGTAAGAAATTACATGGCAATATAAATATTTTTAATTAAAAATAACTTCTTATCCAAAAATTGTGTAATTTTTCTGATCTCTTTAATGCTTGGTTTAATAGATGACACATTCTCATATCTACTCTCACATTCAATCTATTAAAATATGTTTTATTTCAAATGTGAGGAAAATTCAGCCATACATAAATAGGTAGTTAGAAAAGCGAAGAATATTTTAAAAGTGTTTTAGATAATCACGTGTATTTTCTTTTAATACTACACCAAAACTTGACAAGTGGTAGTTCCTTAATTTAGTTGCAGTGTGAATCTAAAACTATAAGTGAACCTCTTTGTTCTATTTTAACCGTTTTTGATCTGTCTTGTAATTTTTTGGCAGGTGTGTGGTTCTGGGGATCAAAACCAGGGCATTGTGTGTGCTAGGCAAGCACTTTACCCCTGAACTCCAGCCCTTATCTTGYACTTTTATCCATGCATGATTTAAAATATCATACATTGGTCATTAGGAAAATAATAGGTTCATTATGCAATGCAGGTCTTTCAACTGTTGACATATAGTGAATTTTTAAAAATCATATTTGATATATCACACTGATTTTATTACAAAATTTTTGAGTATTGGAAAGCTATCAAATTCATGGTGGCAGATGACAGGTTTTCCAGTATTGTAATTTTTGCATAAAAAATATATTGTCATTTGGAAAAAAGATCTGCCATGTGGCCAAGTCTTAATTTCCACAATTTGTCCATCGGTTATTCTTTCAATTAAAAATTGTGCATAAAAAATGGCTAGTTCATTGTTAATTGAAAGTCACATAGATATTTTTCCTTGAAGCAACCATAATATTTCATATAATTTTCTCCTGCCTTTTCCAAGGTCATTTTTAGTTAAATTGGTATGTCTGCCTTGATTGTGCTAAGGTGCTCAGTTTACCCTTCTTATTCTTTTTACAGTATTAGAACAAGTRTCAACACAGTAGGAAAAAGGCAGATAATGCCTTAATATTATTGTGAAGGTGGTTTTGACCTCA